AAGAAATCTTATGGTTATTACTTTTAGTTTTTGTTTTAAAATATATGACTTTCATTTAATTCAGATATTTTATACTTTCTTGTTTCAAGGAGAAACAAATTGCCAATCAAACTACAAAGGGTGGAGTGCCAGAGCATTATCTGAAGTGCCAAGACGTTTCAATGAACACCGACGAACCAAAAACCTTGCCTCTAATCCGACGGTATACATATGGCGTCGGTCATGTCCTCAATGACCTTTGTGCATCCATGTGGTTCAGTTACCTTCTGCTGTATTTTCATCAGGTTCTAAACTTTAAGTAAGTTTGTCGAATCAATCTATGTAGTGAGTGTAATACTGGGAGGACGGATGCAGGGGGAGCAGACGTTGTGATCGCACCTCCTTAATTTGTATTAAAAAATATAATTGTTATATTGTATTCTTGATATGAATTACCGGTAAGATTTTTAAGGTATGAGAGTGTGATTTCCGGACACCTAGAGGTCCACATTTTCAAAATTTTCGTAAACAGTTGCGAATCTTCATACGTTGGTGGCAGTTTTTACTGATTCCACACTTTATACTACAAAAATCATGAAATTTTCAACCAAATTATGGGTGTACTTGTGAAGTGAAAAGTGAAAGTTAAAACAATTTATTTCTACATGCTGATTTATGAGGAAATTATTTCCTTGTTCTCATTTGTAATTGAAAATGAATAACTACTTAAAAATACTGCTTAATATACAGTATTATACAAATTAACCAACATTTTAAAAAATAAAATTAGTCACTAAGTTTACTACAGCTCTAATCACAGACAATGAGTTTGTAACACCATTAACAAGAGTTGTTTACTATTATGTAAACAAAATGGCAACTAAATTAAGGTAAGTAATAGGAATTATAATTTAAGTTCATTTTTAATTTGTCGTTGTTTCTGTTGTAAATAGTAATGCTATAGCTGGTTACCTGATGTTTCTGGGACAGGTTACAGATGGCATTTGTACACCTCTTGTTGGCTATGAATCAGACAGAGAAGACATATCATGTCGCTATGGGAAACGGAAAACTTGGCATTTAATAGGTAACGTTTAAACATGCTTCTTGATCTCATTCGACAGAACCTCAAGCACTCACCAGCCACATCATTCTTGTATTATTTCCTACCTTTTGACACTGTCACAAGGGCATTAAAGTCATGCTGAATATTCAGTGACTGGAGGTTACAGTACGCCCTCTTTTTCCCCAGTTTTTAAATATTCAAAAATCTGTATCTCATTCACCATTTTTCGTCAAATGTTCTTTTTGTGTCTTAGAAAAATCAGTTGTACAACATATAAAAACATTTTTTTGCCTCCGGAGCCACACTTTAACTATAATGCTATTTTTTTCAACATTTTTTTTTCACATTCGTTAATGAACTACAATAGTTACTGTATGCTTTCAATCAATTAAATCATTACATCATATTTTTATACACATTATTTTTCATGAACTATGACTCAGTTTCTTTCACTGCCTAAATTTATAAATGACCTCAATTAGTAAATTCAACAAAGTCATGTACCAAACACTATAATTATCTTTACTTGGTTTGGTAAGCAAGTTCACAGCAACTCTCTGTCGGCATGTTTTTACACAGTATGATGTCATCAATTGGTCTGGTATACAAAATCACCACATCAGTTTATTGTCAAGTTTGCATGTAGTGCTATCAGCAACATCACTACACCAGCAACAGTCATAATCCAAACGACTTGCATCATGATTACAGTATAAGGCAACCACCTACAAAGAATACCAAGCCAATTCCAATACAAGATCACCACATTAACACACATAATTGTAACATAAAGACATTTCAATTACGTTAAAGCCAGAATATTATTTTAACCATTGAAATAATTTAACAATTTTGGCAGCTGTTTTCTCTTTAGAATTGGATGTATGGTTGTAAGTCTTTACAAACAAGTGTTCATTCTAATGTAATTTCTATTTTATTTTTATTCAAGGAACCTTATGTGTGACCGGTAGCTTTGTATTTATCTTTAATGAGTGTATTGGTTGCCATGACGGCACAAGCAGTATGGTTATGTTTATTTACTATGCACCTTTTATCGTCATCTTCCAATTTGGTTGGGCATCCACACAAATTGCACATTTGGCCCTTTTACCGGACCTTACAAGCAACAAAAGTGAACGTACAGAATTAAATGCAATCAGGTTAGTGATCTGTTGAATTGTTTTCATACTCTTCCTGATAAACATAAACAATGAACAATACATAATTTTGAGATGCAGTTGAAACCCATATGTCTTTCCAATGTACATATACAAAATAGAAACTTATGTCGGACTGACAGGAAACACTTTTAAGGACAGATATAATGGACATACTAGCTCATTCCGTAATGAAAAGTACAAAAACAGCACGGCACTTAGCCAATACATTTGGAAACTTAAAGCCGATAATATAAAA